CTGCTTACAGATATATCTAAGATGGACAACTAATTTCTCATGCAGAACTTATTTACCTATAGGTAGCTTTTTTACTGCTGAGAAAGGGGATCTAACAAGATGTATGTTGTAGTCTCCTAGTTGCACAGTTCCTCACTTCCAAATTTAAACTTTAAAGGCTGTGTCATGAACATGCATTTAAAGCAGTTGTACGTTAATCTTTTCTGGGAAATGGAGGCTTGAGACTGGAAGAATCCAAGAGCAGAAAAAAAAATGGAGGGGACTTCCTGGATAGCAGAAACAATTGTTGAGTCATCCACAAACATTTAGTCATGCAAAGTTTCAGTTCTGTTAGAAGAAAAATGTCTAACATACTCTTCCTTCAAACAAACAACGAAGCTGCAGTAAGCTTTTTCCCCCCGCATCTCGCAGCCTGATCAACTTCCCACAGCTGCAGTTGACCTACTTAATAGGAAAAATGGGGCAAACATATGAAGGCCTAACTTTACTAACAACTTGCATCCCTTCAATATTCCATGTGAGCAACGTAAAGCTACTAACACCTGCGGCATTTTTGTTGCTGCACTTCAGTGCAATTATTCCTTTTTAAAAGCCCAGGCTTGCAGTTTTCATAATTTAATACCACACTAGTGGAACTTGTTAACAAGATAAACATGAATAGTTGTAGGATAATTATAGTGTTCCTTGAGCATTAGGTTCAGGTTCATTCTACAGCAGTATTGATTCCTAGCATTTGGAACCTGTCCTACGACTGCCTACTATATCAGACCCAAGGTCCATTACTCCAGCAAGCTGTTTAACAGTAGCCAAGCTGGTCTCCTGATCTCTAGTATTTATTGTGTGTATTATAGCTGTATCTAGGGCCCAAGCAAAGTTGAAGTCCACTGTACAAGACATTGTGTGAACATATCCCTCCTCTGAAGTCTACAGTCTAAAAATTAGATTCTTAAGTGTTGAACCTTGAGGCTTAGTATCCCTCTCTATTCAAGTTTGTGAACACTAACATAAATAAAGGTGCTTTTTTCCCCCTCTTACAAAATGAATCTGCCGTCTCATGGCAATGGGATTCCACAACCTAGTTCATAGAATCACAGGAAAGGAAGGGACCTCATAAGGTCATCTAGTCCAGCCCCAAGCTCAAGGCAGGATCATCCCTGACTAAATAAATCATCCTAGCCAAGTGTCTGTCTAACTGCTTTGGAAATTGTCAAAAGATGGAGATTATACAGCTTCTCTAGGTAGCCTGTTCTAATGCCTGACCATTCTGACAGCCAAAAAAGTTCCTCCTAATCTCAATGCTAGATGATAAAACATAACCTTTTGAGATTGGAATGTGGCACATCCAGTGCATTTTGAATGTTGCCTTGTCCTGGTGTTACATATGGAGAGCAGAAACTTGCCTCTAGCGACCACTGACCATCAGGCTTCCTAGCAAGGAAAAGTAGTTGTCACCCAAAAGCACTGACACATTGTCTTGAAGTATTACAAGTTTTCAATAGCCCCAGGAGGACTGACTAGTTCTCCCTTTAAGATAAAAGCTGAGGCATGTTGGCAAGATCATTGCAGGGAAATTTGCTTTTGTGGTGGTTTTTGAAGACCTCGTTTGCTAGAATCTTTCTTGCTGGAATCTTTCAGAAGCTCAGAATTCATTTAAAGTTATATTTTGGGACAAACACTAGTCATGATTTGATTGCATTTGTTCTGGTTGGGGGGCCAAAGTACATAGTTGTGAATATGTATTTTTCTATTATAGTACGATGGATACACATCCTGTCCACTTGTAACAGGCTACAACAGAGTGATTCTAGCAGAATTTGACTACAATGCTCAGCCTCTGGAAACATTCCCCATTGACCAAAGTAAAGAGAGACTGACCATGTACTATATGAAAGCTGATATGATGCCTTTTCTTTACTGGTATGGACTACTAAAGTAAGTACTCTGACATACAGATTAGTTTTGCCTTATTGAAAACATGTGTAAGAGTTTAAACAAGCTGTGTTAATCAAAATGCTCAGAATTGGTGTCAGTAACACTTCCCTATCTTAGCAGAATTGCAAACTTGCAACTAACAGTCCCACTTTAGGTATGTTGTTTCTGATGCATTTGATATAGATACCTACATAGGCATTGGTGGTAAAGTAGCATTTGGACACACCATCCTGCTCTTTCTTGAAAACTACTCTACAAACAAGGGAATTGTAGCAAAAATTACCCCATGAGAAACTTAAGTTGCTGCAATTTTAGTTGTGATTGTGGTAGCCAGAAGCCATAGCTTAGCTAACTTTGATTGCAATGAAAAAAGCCTAGAGCATGTGTGGGTGTTGCAAGGCACTGAATCAAACTTCTCTTTCCAGGGGCTACTGGGGAGGACCAGGTCCTATAAGGAAGCTGCTGCATCTAGGTTTGAAATAACTTGGGATACCAGCCAGAACTATACCATCATCATCAGGACTGATCGCTTTGCGCCCTCTCCCCCCCACCTTCCACTGAACAATGTATCTTTGCCAGTAGATATTTCTGGTTATTTGGCTTCTTTGTCACAAGCCAGACGTTTCTTCTATTCAGGACTAGGCCTTTTATTCAAAAACATCTGTCACTGTTGGTGTGAGAAACTAGGATGGGACTGATTGCAGTCACTGTCTTCTTACCCTGGGTACTAAGTACTATTGCAGAGTCTTGCTTAACCCAAAGAAGCAGGCAGTTTGAACCAAAACTTGAATCTTTACTTTGTTTTTTAATAAAATCCTAGTATTCCTAAAGCTTACTACAGCCAACTTGCTGCTCAAGTTCAGCATGCAAAGGAAGCCACAAATCTACATAACTTGCCCTGTGAATGTAAGCAAAATCCGTATTACTGTAAAGCATGTATTAGCCTGCTTATCTGATGAACAGTGGCAATGTAGCTTCATCATGATTAAAATTTAAACTTATGTGACATGGAATAAACTATTTTCAGCTAAATGGCCCTAACTAAGGGTTTCTGGAACCATACATTCATCATTACATTCTCCATTCTCTTATCTGAGACTGCATAAATGGTTAAAATGGGCAAGATTTGAAATTGAAGAATTGTATCTGGCCCATGTCTGTTCTTTCCCTGGGCCATAGCTGGCTGCAGCAGCAGCACCTGTAGCCAGGCAGCCACTCCCTTCCCCAGCTCTGCCTCACCCCCCAGCGTATGCTCAAAGGCAGGGGGCACTGAGCTCCTGACCAGGCTTCTGGCTGTTTGCATATAGCTCTGACCCTGCAGGTGTTCACAGCCCAGCCCCTGGCAAGAGTAAAAGCTCAGGTATGGTTCTCCCCACTGGCAGGGGCATGGGCACTACTTATGTGGTGCTGTGCTGTTTCCATGTGCCACTTCAGGCTGTACGACGAGTGTAACTGGAGTGACTGGCACAGCTCCTGCCTGACCCCAACTCCCTGGCCCAGTGCCAGGTGAGGCCAGAGCCTCTCCAGTTGCACCCATGTGACCCAAAGTGGCTTGCGGGACACAAAATGGCACCAGCCCAGCCACATGCTGGGGACTTGACCCAGGCAGAAGTGGGGAAACAGCACCGCACTGACCTAGCCAGGCCTAGATAACCTATAGTTCCCAGCCCCCTTCTCCTTGCATTCCCTCCTCTCTGCACCCCCTCACCTACCCCCACTCCCTGGCACATGGCTAGGCCAGTGCCTTGCTGTGTTCTGTTGGGCCACAAAGGGGCAGCTGGTGTGGCTCCTGTCCAACGCAGCCAGGTGCTGAAGACTTGAGGATGGTAGGGGTGTGGGGGAAGGTAGGGCAGAGAGCTGTGGGGAGCTCACATGCATGTGTGCAACCCTCAACAGCTCAAAAGTCATTAAGGAGCTCTCTAGCCAAAGTAAGTCCTCTAGATCCAGCCTGCTTGTTGTCAGCTTGCACCGAAGTATCAGCACAAGCTTGGTAAAAGTTAAATGTCAATAGATGAGAAAATCTTTTAAATTATCTAATATGAAAAAAGATCTATAGCTGGAATGTTAAGATTTAGGGCTAAAGAGCACTTTAGCTCATAATAGCCAGAAAGAAGCTTGAGGCTGCTTGCAGGTAGATTCCAGGATACCACCTAGTCCAGGGGTTTTCAACCTTTTTGATTAATGTGCTGCTCCTGGCACACAGACAGGGGCTGGCGCATGGCCACATGTAGAGCAGTGGCAGCCATGTGCAAGCTTCCCCTGCCTCCCACATTCAGCCAGGTGGTGCCTGCACAGGATGCTGCATGGCAGCACTCTGTCCTGCCTGCGCACATGCACCTCCTAGGGCCTTCTCAAGTACCCCCAGGGGCAACATGTAGGGGGTGCATGTGCACTCCCTGCAAGGCTGGGCTCCCCATGTAGCTGGCAGGCAGGGGGGCAGGCGGGAGCAGTGTTGTCATCCCCCCTCCAAGTGCCGGCCAGGGTGTGGTGCTGCCAGTAAAAGTGGCTGCAGGACTTCTAGAAGCAGTGTGGCCCCTTTCATGGTGAGTGAGAGCAGCCACTGGGGGGACCCCCTGCCAGTGGGATCGGCTGCGGGGCATCCCCCCCAGTCACTGACTGGTGTCAGGGGAGGCATGTGCGCCCCCTCCACCGCCCCGACTCAAGTGGCACCAGCCACCCATGCTCAGGGATACACGTACCCCTGCTTGACAACCCCAACCTAGTCTTATGCTATTTTTCACTGTTGCTTGAAAGCCTTTGACTAAGTGAAACTTAAGAGCACTGTCCTTAAATATCCCAAAGCAAGCATAATGGCATAAATTGCAATGTTAATTCTACGCGAATGAAACAGAACAAATTGTAACCTAAAAGCTAGCAGAAGAGGAATGTAAGCTGTGGTACCACTTAGGATGTTTCTATTGCTACACAGAAATGCCCACTTCAAAAAGTGAAAATTAAAATTCAGACTCCTTCAGCCCACCTCCACTTAGCCATTATTTCTTTCCTTTATGTAAAAAGTAGAGGTTACCCTCCAACCTCAAGCATAAACCAAAAAAAACAACGAGACTTCAGATGGAAAAAAAATCTTTTTAATCAAGGCCAAATGTAACTGGTTTTCAGGCGAAAACTGAAGAGTCCAATTAAAAAAAAAATGAAGTCTTCACAGAAGCTGAGACTTAGTTGCCAAAGTCTGGTACACAAATAAGTTAAAGTACTAAGAGGCATCTTCTTGGATTGTAAGGATCCATGCACTGCTTGTCTATCTCTGTAAAAAGAACATCACTTCAGTGTCTGATATTACATACATATGTTACATATACATAATTGACACCACAGGAAACCCTCAGCATTTGCAGTTTCAAGTATTTGTGAATGCCGACCCCGCATCTTAAATATACTTGTGGGAGCTCCTTGCTTGTCGCCGCCAGCACAGCCGTGGCCCCCAGCCCTCCAGGGGCACTGCGTTTATGACATTCATGAACACAGTACCGTATTCACAGATTTTGCCATTCACAGGGATATCTCCCGCAAATGGCAAAGGTCGCCTGTACACGCTTGTTAAAATTAAGTGAAGACAAAAAAGCAACTAGTTGCTTTCTGACTTCCAGAAGTTGTTACAAAACAGCAAACAAATGACAGTTGATTCAATCAATATGACCTTATTATTAGATTTGCTTTAGTAAGGAGTCACTTACCTGCATATTCAGTAATTCTTCAATCTTGTTCTGGATTTGTCCATATACTTCATTAAAAAGCTCTTCCCTTGATTTAGTTCCATCCAAGTGCACTTGAATATAAATACATCAATCAATTACTTATTCTGAATAAAGTCTAAGGACACATATTATAGAATTAGGACCCTACCAGCTTTCCAAATTGGGTCATTAAAGAAACCAGAAACATAACCAATTCCAGAAAAAGTTCTCCATGTGGCCAGAAGTATTTTAATTCTTTCTTCTGAATTAAAAACCTTAACACATACTACTTAGCTGACAGCTGTTCATCTCTTCTTCAAGCTCAGGACTACCTGATACACTAAGCATATAAAAGAGCTTCAATACCCAAGTTACTTACCCACATCGACTTTAAGATCTTCCATTATCCTTTTGTGTTTTACATACATAGGCCAGACGTGGCCATCAAACAATCCAGGTGGGTCTGGTACAGTGTAATTTCTTGAACTAGAAATTAAAAACACAACTTTACCAGATTATTTGACCCTTCATCTTAATCCTATATTACAAATTAGAAAAAGTTGGTAGTGTATTCAAATTCTTTACCCACTGAGTCAGAACCAGTCACCTTGACTTTAATTATCTGACTCTAATCAAGTATGGGCTTTGTATTATGCATCAGCTGCAAGTAGACTGACAAAATAAAACTTCAGAATCAAGTTTAAGGATTGATATGTCTAGCTGCAGAAATGAGATTTAAGGTTCTCAGCATTACTGCACCAACTTCTTTTACGTGCACAATACTGTTTATTCTCTATGCAGTTCTCTCTGTGTGGTATATTAAAAAAAACCTCAAGTACTAAAAGACTAAGACTGGTAAGGAAGTCAGTTATGTAGCAGTCACTGTTTCCAGAATTCATCTTTGCAGAATGCTGATGATTTAATCAATCAAGAACTTGTCTACTCTGCTAAATAGAAGAATCAATCTAGTGTCCCCTCCATCACCATCTGAGCAACTGAAGCTTTACAAAGAAATCAAAAAACTTCCTTACGGCCACATTACATTTAATCTAAAGCAATATTATTAACAAAAAACATTAACTTAAGAAACAGAGCCCCAAACCTACCTCCTCCTCCTCTTGCATTCTTCATATGGAATAGAAAGGAAGTACCGATGGTTGAATACTTCAATCAGTGGTCTATAAATAAATAAATAAAATTCTTGTTTTTGAACAGCAGCAAGAATATGCTACAATTAGTCACAATTGAGGGAAAGTTATTTTGGTACTTCACAGATTCACAGTTTAGGGCTGGAAGGGACCTTGAGAGATCATTGGGTCCAGCCCCACTTCTCTGGGCAGGAAAGACTGCTGGGGTCAAATAACCCCAGCACGGTGTACATCCAGCCCCCCCGCTCTGGGCAGGAAAGACTTGAGGTCAAATGACCCCAGCAAGGTGTGTATCCAGTCTCCTTCTGAAGATCTCCAGGGCAGGTGCCTGCACCACTTCACAGGTGCTTAGTATGGGACAATGGGTTGTAAGGTTTGATGTGGAACAAAAAGCTCAAATCCAAATCAAACTATTTTAACCTAATGCTACCATGTGCCCATCCCCTTCACCCTGCCAAGTTATGAGGACTGATCTGACTACTAGCTGGGAGAGAGAAGCAATTTTCATCCAGCACATGTAACATTGTACCAGCTACCCTTCTGTGATAGAATAACTACAGTTAAATGTGGGCAATGCAAGAGATGCAACTTTAAATAAAATATCTAATATTGCATCTCATGAGAAATTAAATAGGGATTAATACTATCACTGTAAAATAGAAAAGGTGGTTGAAAGATTACAGAGGGTTACGCTTGAAGTGGATTGGGATTAGTAATTTTCTTCAGAGATCAGTCTAGGACAGTGGCGATCAACCTTTATGGCTAACAGGCTGTATCAGCAGTGCCTGGTCCCTCTGCAGGCCAGATCTGCTCAGTGGACGCAATCCAGCACCTAGGGTGGGTGCTGGAGTACCCCATGCTGCTGCATAGAGTGGGTAAGGGGCAGCCTAGCTTAATCCAGCTGCACAGAGGGAAGGGGAGTAGCTCAGTCCCTGGAAGGGAAAGGGGGCTGGTCTGGCTCCATTGGGGGGGGTATGGTCAGGTTCTGCAGGTTTCTGACTATGTGGGAGGAAGGCCCTGGCTCTGCTCTGACCCACTGCTCAGGACTTGGGATTTTGGCAACGAGGAAGGGTGGCGGTACTAACTGCCACTGTTCTCCCACTACCAAATTTCCTGATGCATGGGGAGCCCAGCAGGCAAAAGTCCAAGGCTCTGCAGGCCACATTTGGTCTTCAGGTTGCAGGCTGAACTTCTCTGGTCTAGGAAATGGAGGTGCACCAATACACTGGTCCAATATCAGATCAGCACCAATATAAAGAAAATTGTCTGTATTGGAAATTAGCCTGATATGGCTGATAAATGGCCCACACAGGCACAGCTGCAGCACAGCACATAGGTGGCAAGAAGCCTGGCAGCTTGAAGAGCAGCGTCTGGCTAGTAAGTCTGTTGTGGTGGAAGGGGAGGGAGGTGGCAGCAGGGGGCAGGTCAAGGCCCCTCACAGTGAAGAAGGGAGTGGGGCTGAAGCAAGCGCTACCCAACCGGAGCAGGACAGAGCAGCTGCTCATGGGGGGGCAGCTCCCACCATTTTGCACTACAGCAGTGGTGCTAGGATCAGGTCTATAGGGGGGGCTGCAGCCACCCCAAAATTTGCCATAGACCCCCCCATAGCCCCTGCTTCCAGTGCTGCCACCACTGCCATCCCTGAATGCAGCCCTAGCCCCACCCTGCGCAGATCCAGGGGAACACCCCCCTTCCATACCTCCCCAGACAAGCAGCTGCTCCATCCCACACCCAACCTGCCCTGGCTAGGCATCGTTTCCCCCAGCCCTGGTCCCAGCCCCACTCACTCCTTCACTGCAGGGGTCCCTGATCTGCCTCCATGCTTCTTCCCTCCCCGCTCCCCTTCCACCACAACAGACTTATCAGTTGGACACTCCTCTTCAAGCTGCCAGGCTGGTATCGGAAATTGGATCAGTATCGGATGATATTCCTCCTTAAAAAAAGCGGCTTTTGGTAGCCCCAAATATCTCCATCAGTGCACCGCTACTAGGGACTTATCTTGTTAGCAGCCTTGATACACAAACTATATTCATGCTGTGGAAGACACCAAACTGAGAGGTACTGCCAGCAAGGAGGAGGTTGGCTTTATACGCAAGAAGAATAAAATCTTGAAGACAGGTATGAAATATGATAGTATTAAATACAATGTCATGCACCTAGAAAACTTCACTAGGAACTATCACTGTAAGATGGGAGGCAATTCATTCACTAGAGGCAACAGAAAACAAGATCTTGGGGCATACTGGTCAAACTGTAGAATGACCCTGAGCTGCAAGTATGCTACCATTGAGAAAAAGGCAAACACAATCCTAGACTGTGTCAGGCAGGATTTTCCAGAAAGATGAGGAACTGATACTACAATAGTACAAAGCATTGGTAGGATACTACTTATAATACTGTGTTCTGTTCTCTGTACCCATTCCATTGAATGCAGATGACTAGAAGAGGTAAGAAGATATGTAGGGGAATTTAAGGGAGATTAAGTTATTGGCAAAATTAAAATGAACAGAGGGTATAACTAGTCATTAGAAATATAAGTGCAGAGTGAAAATTAGGGGGAAAAGCTTTCAAATTGGATAATACTGGTGCGATATCAATGGATATGAACTGGACAGAAATAGATTTAGATGGAAGTCAGAAGGGTGTTAATCAGTAGAATAAAGTTTAGAATGACCTTCCAAAAGAACTGGTGGGGACAAGGAACATAAATTACTTCAAGGGACTGTAAAAGAAGTACCCTACTTTTGCATCCCTTGAAGTAATTTGCATTCCTTATCCCCACAAGACAAGGTAGATTTGTACATTATAGACTAACTAAATCAGAGACACACAAGCTTTTGGAAGCCTGAGCTCACTTCAGGAAAATACCTCTATACTCTATGCAATGACGGAGTCTGAATGTCTCCTATGTTGATAACTATTTGTTTTTCCCAGGAAGAGACTGAAAGGACACTCGATCTCTTGAAAGAGGAAAAGGCTGGAAGTGCCATGCTTTAGGGCTTTCAGCACTGGATAGAACTGAAAAGAAATCTCCAACCCTGTGAACGCAGAACTCGGCTCTGGAATGGTTTCCCTTCAGCCTGTGACGTTAGCAATGGGTTTAGGATTTGGTTGGGGCACACCAGTGCTTTTATGGATTTTAAAAAGCTTGGAAGTATCTGCTGAAATCGGCTCCTTTGCTCAGGATCAAACCAGCAGACAAATTTAGATCAGGAAGGAATTCTTTCCTAGGACAGACAGGCAAACCGCCCTCCTCACCCGACATTCTCAAAAGCTCCCTTCCCAGTTTCATCCAGGAATATTTTAACTAACCAGTTTCCTGCTATTGTAGTTTTAAGGCACTAGGAAGACCACCTCCAGTCCCATGCCCCTGCAATGGTTTGGATTCACACCTCCAGGGAATGTTTTTATTGTGGGCAACAGCCTGTGCCAGACTTTGTAGCCAGGGGCTCACAAGTTCTACATTTGAAGAGAACTCCTTTGAAGTGTAGCATTCATGCTTTGCCTTCAGTTTGGTCAAGGTACAGGAAATCAAAGTCCATGCCGCAGCGAGCACCTTGCTTACCTGTACGTGTACAGCAGGAAGCCTTCCACAATGAGGATGTGGAGGGAGTCACCCCCGTCCTCCGAGCCCTGCGTGAGGCTGGCCCCCAGGGTGTTGTTGATGCCGTGCGAGCGTTCAAACTTGACCGGGTTCTTTCTCCAGGCGTTGATAGTGCTCATCATGGCGTCCATGTCCAGGGCACCGATCACTGTGGGAGCACAAGGTGAAGAGTAAGAACCACATAAACGCCTCCCGGCGCCCACCCGCCCGCAAAGGACCCTCGTTCCCGCAGCCTTACCATCATACTGCTTGAATCCACCCTCCGTCCGGATGTCGTCTTGGGGCTGCGACAGGGGAGAAACACCTCAGCGGGGTGCGGCCCCGCCCGGCGGGGGGAGGGGGGAGCCGCGGGGGTCGTGACCCCGGGTTTGTTTGTGCGCAGATAAGGGCGGGGCGCGGCCGCGACGGGGCCCCGGGCCCCTTTATCGCCCCGCGCGCAGCCCGGGGCGGCGGCTCACCTTGAAGAAGTCGTCCTGGTGCACCACGCTGCAGCTGGGCAGGGCGCCCCCCCCCCCCCGCCCCCCCGCCGATGCCGACGATGACCTGCATGGCGCACGCGGAGGCGGCCCACGCGGCGGGGCCTTGCCGGGGTGAGGAGGAGGCGAGGGGGGAGAGGACCAACGTCAACTGCCGAGCAGCGCCATAGCCGCGCGGAGGGAGCACCGGGCCGGTCCGCGCCGCGCGAAGGGAAGCCGGGAGGGCGCTCGCCGCGCTTCCCTCGCTCTACAGCCCGCCCATTGGGCGACGCGCGGCCAATAGCAGCGCTCCTTCGCGCAGCCCGCGCTCCTCCACTGGCCGCAAAGGGCCGCGCCGCACCGCTCCGCAGCGCCCATTGGCTGGCGGGGGCTGGGACTGCTCCAATAGGGACGGGGTACAGATCGCGTCCCGCCCGCCCGAGCTAGCTAGTTCTTAGGCCAATGGGAGCGCGGAGCTGGGCGCTGCGTGTAGCAGCTGCGCGCGCAGCCCGGGGCCGGGAGCTGCGCTGCGTGGAGCGCGCGCTGGGGCAGGGCGCGGGAATGGCGGAGGTGCCAGTTAAATGCTAAACCCAACAGTGTCAATATGTGTGCTTAAGAGTTCCCATTTCTTATCAGCGTAATTCGGCGGTACGGTGACGCCCACGTACTGCAGCCAAGGGTACAGCTTCGAGAACCTTCAGCTAACTTGGCCACCAGAAGTGGTGCTGCTGCAGCAGGTGGGGCTCCAGCCAGGCTAGCTGACCCTGCTTCTCTTCGCCTGTGCGGAGTTCCAGGCCGTCCTGGTTAAATTACTTCCAGTGCCTACGCTTGCCTTGTCAAAGGAGTGTAGCTGTCTGTAGGGTTTGGGGATTTTGAAAATGTAAATGGTATCTATACAGTGGCCTTCAGTGCCTACAGGCGTACCACAGACCTTTGAGGATTTCCGTGTTAGGTGACTTTGAAAACAATCCCTGTTTACCTGCGTTGGAGCGCTCAGTGTCACCTCGTTATTTAAAAATAGAACTAGCAGTTCCTTCCTTCCCAGGCTGTTGGAGAATAGACGCTACACCAGGGGTGTCAAAGATGAGGCCTATGGGTTGGATCCAGCCTGTGGAGCCCTATGATCCAGGTCATGGGACCTGAACCACCCCACTCTGCCCCATGTGCTACAAACCAGCCCCAGGCTTGCCCTCAGACCTGGTGGTACCTGTGGCTAGAGCTGGTGCTGTGTTACTACACGCAGTGCAAGGCTGGTCTAGGGTATGCACTGCATGAGGTGCCTGTGCTGGACTGGCTCTGCCCACCCTGGTTACTGTGGGGCCAGATGAGTTTGACATCCTTGTATTATACTATTTACATTCACTTCCATTTCATCAGCATCTTTCATTTAGTTTTTAATTTCCCTAGTTATATAGTCACTGTGTCATATACACACATGAATGAACCCATACCCTCAACAACACCATGAGATAAGGCAACATAGCAGTGAGGTAAAGCAGTATTATCCCAATTTTACAGATATATAGGACTAAGGTACAGAGAAACCAAGTGACTTCTTACACAAAAAAGATTTTGACAGTTTACAGTATTGCCACCTCTCATGATTTAACTCAACACTGAGTTAAGCTACCTTGAATGCAGTGGAAATACTCCCAGAGATCAGATACAACAGGATTGAGCAGGCAAACATAGAGTTATTTATTCCAAAATCTTTATGTGGGATAAATAAGAAGATGTGAACAAAAGAATTGGAAGCAAAGGGAAAG